CAGTCATTTTATACCATAGGAGACTTGCCTGTTGTAGACCATAGAGAGCATTTTTAAGTTGACAGATTTTCTTGTCTTCATGGATAAAGTGCAGCATTTGTTCTGGTTTGGTTTGAATCTGTCCATTTGAGCTTTTAATTATATCTTCTAGGATTATTTCGATTTGGTCTGGCAGGTGCATGAAAATCTCCTGATCAATGTTTCCATTAAGGAATGCTGTTTTCATGTCCAACACTGAAATTGGTTGATGAGTAAATGCTGTTTGGCTACAATGATGAGGACAGTTTAGATAAAGTTGATCCTTGCAACTAGTGCAAAGGTTTCATGAAATTGATTCCAGGGTGCTGAGCGTAACCTTTCACTATCAACCTTGCCTTTCATCTTTCAAAAGTGCCATCTACATTGTATTTGTTGCTAAGGACAATGCAGCAACCTACAATATCTCTGCCAGGAGGGCGGTTGGTGATGTGCCATGGTGCCATGTATCGTTTTTGATGATAGAGATGAACTCACTTCTGATTGCATCTTTCCATTCTTGAGCTAGTGAGCTTTAAAGAGCATCCTTGATGGAGATTTCAGTGTTGAATGCTATAGGCAAATCCTGTTGTATCATTCCCTTGTTGGACATTTTCTTGGATTAGTTCTACATTCTGTAAATATTGTTCTTCAGTTTGGTGTTGCAAATTTGATTTAGTCACTACCATTTTGAAAAGTTTGCAAGGTCTATCTTTCAAGCCAGTTTTGATTTGGTGTGGATGACCTGGACCACTCTTTAATTCATGATCCCTGTGGATTTCATTTCCATTGCTGACTTGTTGGATGGCTTGACTGGTGTTCTCTTCCCCTTATTCAATGGTTAAGGATGGAGGTTTGGTTAACTGAGTAATCACTTCATAACAATCAGCTTCTTTTTCTTGTGAAGAATGTTCTCTGGAGATGAATCCTTTAAAATTTTCATTTGACGTTTTCAGTCCAAAGAATTTAACATCTTGGGTTGCAATTACCTTTTTCTGAGTTGGCATCCAAATTCAGTAGGCTTTGGATTGCTTGGAATAGCCAATAAATATTTTTTTTTCAGTATGTTATATCCATATTACCATCATTAAAATATCCTTCAATTCCTTGATTTAAAGTTTTACAAAATTACTCTAACAGACAGGGAAACAGACATTCTTCAATTCTATTGATCATCAATCAAACAAACTTATTTCAAATCTGTTCTAGTCATTTGATTTTCACCAGTGTTTAGCATAACTTGCCAATTATTTGTGTTATTTTTGATAATTTTAAAAATTTAATTAATGCTTTGTTAATGTATTTTTTCCATTTCAAAAAATTTGGGTTTTATAACTTAATTCTTAAATTTATATCATAATAATCATTATCAGAAGTTTCAAAAGATAGTAACAAGAGAAATAGTTTCGAAATGGTGGTATTAAACTAGAAAAAAATGTTAAAAAAACAAAAATCACCTTCTTAATCTTAGCAATGTATTTATTAAAATTAAAAACATTTTCAATCAGTTTGACTGACCTTCTTCAATTAACAGCAATATAATCAACGGGTTGATATTCACACCAAATACTGTATGGTAGGACGAAGAAATCACTGAGATCAGTATTATATGTTCGTTTATCGCAAGTATAGTATACTTGCGTATCGTATCATAAGTATAGTATCACAAGTATACTGTAGTACAAAGTAGGATAAAAAAATCACTGAGATCAGCATTATATGTTCATTTATCGCAAGTACTTTCGATGATCCTATTGTCATTGTTGTCAGGCAAATACAGAAATTTAATAAAAACAAACAGAAATAATTCAATAAAGAGCAGAACACATATAATTCAAAATTAAAATTTTTGACAAGACTGTTAGGAACAAGCAACAAATATTCAAATGTGTTCGAAATTAAACAAACCTAATGACATTAGGATCGTCGAAAGTACTTGTGATAAATGCACATATAATACCGATCTCAGTGCTGTAATATACTTTAAAAATTGTAAAGTATAATTTAAAAGATATATGAAAATATTTAAAAATCACCAAACAGCTGATGTTGAGAAATGTTTATTAAACAAACATTAACGTTTTCAAACTAATACGATAGGCCATCTTCAGATGCAGTGGAATTCGAACATGTTTTTTACTTAACATTATATTTGTTGCTTGTTCCTAACAAGCAACAAATATTCTTGTCAAAAGCTGTAATTTTGAATTATATGCGTTCTGCTCTTCATCAAATTATTTCTGTTTGTTTTTATTAAATTTCTGTATTCGCCTGACGATGACGACATTAGGATCGTCAAAAGTACTTGCAATAAAAGCACACACAATGCCGATCTCAGTGATTTCTCCGTCCTACTAATTTCATTCATATTTGTAGTTTTATATATTAAATGAAAATATTTGACACTTGCATATCTTTATTTCATTATACATTTTATTTTACATATGTTATATTTTTATTTTATTATATTATTTATATTGTTATTGTATTAGTTTATTTAGTATATTTTGTTTTATTTTATTATTTATTTGTTAATTTATCTAGTATTTTGTTTTAAATTTAAATGTAAAAGTGTTCGAATGTTCTGTCATTTAAATGTTAAGTTAAAAATATGTTCGAATTCAACTGCATCTGAAGATGGCCTATCGTATTAGTTCGAAAACGCTAATGTTTGTTTAATAAACATTTCTCAACATCAGCTGTTTGGTGATTTTTAAATATTTTCATATATCTTTTAAATTATACTTTACAATTTTTAAAGTATGTTACAGCACTAAGCTGGACTGTTTGGCAATTTCTTTCTTTACATGTGATGCCTAGAGCACAGTAGCAATTTCAGTTGAGCAATATTTTACTTGGCAAAATGGACACATTTATTTGAATGTGAGCATTTATGTGACCACTTTTAAGTCACAGAAACTAAAAAATTACATTATGCTCTATTTTTTTAGACAACAAAATTGATGCTTTTCAAAATAGAAGAGAATTCAATTGGACATAGCACACTAGTGATTGTTTAGTTGCTCACTTGCTGATGAGTCAGTATATATGTTAATTTTCACACTTGAAGTCAAAATTTATATTTTACCAATAAATTTTACTGGTTTACTAGTAAAATTTTGAAAATTTATTGTATTACCAGTAATAAAAAGGTAGCAATTTTGCAACCTCTATTACTACAATGTAAAATAGCTTTGTATAATGAGTTACATGTTAAATTTATTAATTAACATATGTTGTACAGTTTTGTGAATTCAGCAAAATGTTTATTAACATATAATGTATGATAATTTTGTATGGATAATCTGTGGGTTAGAAAGATAATTTGAAATGGGGTGTGAGTTATGCAATGGGGTGGGTTGTGTGTCAATTTTAAATTATAAGTTACAACAAATGAATATATTAATGAATAAATATTAAAATCATTGACTGGTGACAAAATTCTAAAAATAATTGATGATGCACTACAAAACTAAAAATTAAAACAATTGATAACTTCTAAACTGGCAATTGTCTTGCTTTCACTGGCCACCCTGGAGATGCAGATTATACAGTGAGACTAGTTACACAAAAGTTTGTGGGGTATTTGCATTTTTCACCAGATGCTTGCCCTTTAGAGTTTAAAAACAAAACTATTTTATGTGAGTTGTTTGAATCATTCTTATGTGTCAGCAGCAAAAATGAATAGCAATAGGAAAAGCAAAGCTTTCTGTTGCATTCCAAAGCTATTTGGGATCCTGATATAAGTTTTCATTTATTTCTACATGAAAAACAGATGATTATTCGGAGAATGATCATCTGTTTCTTCAAATATGAGTTTCTTCAAACTCATAAGTGTAACTGATGGAGAATGGATTTGACTGTTAAGAACTGGCAAAAATGTTTCCCAATTGTCCAGCTTTACATGAACAAGTTATGCTGTGAATTTTATAAGATTTTTCCTTAAAGTTTAAAATGCCATTAATTTTATGTGGTATAGCTGTCAAAGCTGATATCTGAACACAGCGCAAATATGTATAGAATGATCTTACTCGTTTGTTTCGATAATACTTCATAAAATGGCCTGACCGGCTAGCAATAATTGTTCTTTTATAAAATTTCTTGATAAACAGCTAAAAGCAGCATATATTATTATATCGGACAGTAATACGTGATTCATTTTACATTGACTAATTACAAATGACCCAGGTATAGTAGCCATTTTGTAAAAATGCCTCTATAGTTAATTAAAAACATGAATATGCTGTTATGGTTATAAGCCACTGCAGGTTATCTATCAATACATGAAATTAACAATCATTTAAATTTAAATAAATAAATTTTTTAGTAAATAGCAAATGAACAAGTAACATAATTAAAGAAATGAAATATATTATTATCCAAATTTGTCTAATTGACATAAAATAATTATGATCACTTTATATTATTGCTTATTAATTTTCCTCCTTTATTTATTCTCTAAAAATAATGCCATATGTTTATATTAACAGATAACCATCACAAATTAACTTTGTTTTTGTTCTGTTACTTTTGTTCTGGAATAAAAACACACTAATTAACTGAAGACAGTGTTTTTTATTCCTAGCTAAGATTTCATTTGTCTTTTATAATTTTGTTTATTAACATTTGCCAATATAAAAAATATTAAGTTATCTTACCTATCATGCTTTATAAATTTTTCTAATTGAAACTGTTAAACAAGGTCCATTAATTTAGTTTTAATGCTTAAAAGATGTTCATATTATTGATGTTTGAAGCATGGCTTTTATAAATAAGTAAAAACCTTTAATGTAAACTATATTATACAGCTAAATGGAATGTGAATTTTGTCCAGTAATTTCTGTTCCAATTTACTTTGTAACATAAAATAAATTTTTTTATATTATTGAGCTGTAATTTTCAAAACTGCAGACCTGTACATTAATCTGTCCTTAATTTGTGAATGGAGTTAGATAGATGAAAATTGAAACCAGATGTGAATAGCTTAGGAACCAGAGGCCTCAATTAACTATATGCGAACTTCTAAACTGGACCAGAAGTCATATGATTTCTATTCAAAAATTTTCTTCAGAACAATGTTAGGCAGATGACTGGCGTGATCAATTGTTAATGATTGATAACAGATGCAATTTTTTTATTAATATTTTTATTGCTTTATATAAAACCAATACTTTTGAAGATATAAATATAGCATTATATTTAAATAATGAAAATTGATTAAAACTTTCAGTAATGTTAACTTAATTTTTCAGGAATGATCCAGAGAGAAGATATATCATGTTTAATCCTTAAATGATTACTTTCATATTAATCTTATTGATTAAAAGACATGACAGTTAATGTAAGTATCAAAATTTTGTGCAAATATTTTTTTAATCCACAAAACAGGAATTAATATTTTTCAGTTTTCATTTTGAATATATTCAAAACAAAAATTCAAATATATTTAGGAAATCCAAAAAATTTAATTTAAATCATCATATTATATGATATAATTTTGCAAATAATATCTGTTATATTAAATTTTATTTGTTTTGTTTTATTTTTAAATCAAAATTATTAAATTAAGCATTAAATTTTGTGCTCTATTTTATCATCCTTTCCAAAATTTTATTTTCTGTTCACATTTTAAAAATTATTAACACAATTTTAATTTTAAAATTATTTGTTCTTTTTACATCTTTTGTCTTCTGATGATAAATTTATTTACAGAAAGTACTTGTTTTTATTCTCATTTTACGCTTTCATTCACTAAAAAGACACCAAAAGACAGTTATCTCCTGTTTTATTTATGTTGTTTCTTGTTGGAAAATTATTAATATTGTAAGGATGATAAAGGAAATGATTGTATATTTAATTACAGCATCATCTTTGCTTTTCTTATTACACTATAAAAAACAAATTCCTGATTTTCTCCATTGCATTATTTGAACCAACTGCCAAAATACTAGAGAAAGACATTATATTTGTTCCAGATGCCGATATAATCTTGGCAATATTTCATATGCTCAGTTTTATTTATTTATATTTCGGAAGACATTTGTTAAACATAATAAACTGACATGGTCTTTTCTCGTATATCTTCTTTTGTTGTTGCTGTTTCAAACACTATTCCATATCCTTCTGTATTATCTCCGTCTCCTGTCATTGCTTAAATATTTACTTTCAACTTTAAATGTATCTTAGCAAATATAATAAATCAATAAATTATTAGTGTGTATTACAAAATTATTACATAATTGTCAATCTTTCTATTCAATCAATTATTATTCAGAATTAAGAAAATATATTGTCCATTTACATAGTATATATTGATCACATGTAGCATTTTATAAAATTCTATATTTGTTGTGTTCAAGTTCAGTTCTTACTATTTGTTTCTGATTTCTTTCCTTTTATGACATTTTATAGACAGTAAGTATTACAATTTATTTTCAAAGATACTAAGATTGAACAAATGTCACATAAAAACAATTACAAATGTGTTGGTATTTCTGAAAGTACAAAATATTTTATATATAGAATAATTACAAATTTAAGATTTAAAATAATGTTTAAATTTAATATGACAATATAAGAATATTTTATGATGTCCTTTGGAGAAATTTTATAAGCAATATTTTATATATCAATAACATAAGAAATTATAAATAGGATATAAATAGCAAAATAACATAAGAATAACGAAAATCAAAGTCTTAGTTGTGATCACTCCATAGTTTATCAAAGAAGGTTCTCCATGCTAGTGATATAGTTTGGCAGTCTATAAAATTAATGCATTCTCCATTCATCAATGCTTTAAAAATCTCTAGTCTTTCTGAAGTTTTTTGTCTACTTGGAATTTCTGTTTCACCACTTTGGTTTCATCCAGGTTAGCTTTGACCCCTGGTTGTGTGGCAAACATGGATATAATGGTGTTGAGTTTGTTGGTATCACTATCATACTTATGTTCTTTCACTATTTTGTGCAAGGATCTTAGTGTTCTTTTAAATTGGTTGATAGGTTACTGGCTTACATCACTGATAGGTTACTGTAAACTTCTGAAGCTCTTTGGGTCTGTAATGTCCTTTCCATTATGCAGTATTTTGTACTATTGGTTTGTGACAATATTCAAATATTGGTTTCCATATACCTGCATTTTCTTATATATTGGGTTAAGTATTGGTCATAGTCTACAATTACACATTGTGTAGTGTTGAAAGGTGATTAGTTGTGTGTGATGGATGGAAATTGCACTCCTGTGTTGTGTGTGAATATTCTTGAGTTTTTTTACCAGTGTTTTGGGATAGCCAAAGCAGGCTTATCAAGAAGGTCAAAAACATGTTTTTCCAATTAAATATTACTGGAATGTAATGTATGGTTTCTTCTTGTTATTTATTGTCACAGTTCCAGTTTTTGTAACCTCTTAGTAATCAAAACCACTATGCAGAAATATTTCAATCAATGATCAGGCAGCAAGTTCTTGCTTATTTAAATAATTTCACTTTAGTAGAAATTCTGTATTAAATATGCTTTGTTGGAAATGCTCTAATAGAACTATTAATATGAAATGACAATGGCAATAATTTAACCTTTAAAGATACAGATTGCTGAAAGATATATAGTACAAGGATAATATGTTATATACCAGTATAACATCTAGACAAATGTCGTCAGATTTCCTCTGTGGTAAATTAGTGAATTTTGTTTTTTTTATTGGTTTAGTTTTAAAATTAGCCTTACCTTGGCAGGAAATAGGAAATATAAATAAATTAACAAATAAATAATATAAAAGCTTGATAATATTGTAGAGGAATAAAAAAAAATAACCAAAACTCCAGCATAAACTAATAATTTACTGAGGAAAAAACAAATGTTTTTGATATCATTAAACTACCATCATCAGGTTAAATAAGAAAAGTTTGAAAATAAAAACATTAAACTTAAATATTCAAATTTTTCCAAAGACTTTCTAATGTTCTTTTTTGAAGTCTTCTTATTTAATCTGATGATGGTAGGTTAATCCTGAAGAATTACTGTTTTCCTTAACTCATTTGTCAGTAAGAATGCATTATTGTCACCAATTCTCAGTAAATTAACCAAAACTCCAGTATAAAATGATATTTTTTTAATTCTGTGAATAAAAAATACTATAGATCTGTTTTACAGAAATTCTTGATTTAAATAAAGGGTGGCAGATCAAGTATGACATTAGCATGGGGATGGCAAAATGTGACAGGGAGAGAGTCAAAAAGAATTTAAAATTGGTGTCATCATATTTGAACGATCTCTTATCCCATTGGGGAATTTTATGTAATAAACCATATATGGAATTTTCTTTGGATAATTTTTGCAAATACAGTAGAGTCCCGCTAGTCCAAACACCATTAATCTGAACATGTTTTGGTCGGCAGAGAGGAAATTTTTGCTAACAAGAAGTCCACTTAGGAGTGTTCTCCTTTCTCTTTCCTGAGTGAACCAGGTGAATAAGGCTTCATCAAGTTTGTCAAATGTTAAGGGCCTTGCTATTTATCAATTTTTAACTGATTTTTCTGAAGTAGAGGCACAAAATTGCTCAATCTTTGTGTGCTTTTTTTCCAGTCATACTGTGGCATCTCAACAGAAATGCCACAATAACCGGTGGAGCATTGACGTCATTGATAGTGTTGGGTCTATATAAACCAGACCTGTTTTACTGCTTGCTTCTACATTATTTCAATTATTCGGCTGAATCTGAAAATCTGCTAATCCAAACAGGGCTTGGTCCCAATTAGTTCAGACTAACGGGACTACTGTATATCAGTGTTCAATTTATGATCATAAAATGAATACATAATAAGTAAATGAAAATGATTTAAATGAAACTAAACATTAAAAAACGAAAACAAACAGTGGAATACATATAATACATAAATGGCAGATTTAGAGTGTAACACTGTAGATCAGTTATAAAAGATGTTCCAGCTGATGTCCATCCACAGTGAGGTAATGGTGTAACTTTTGTTCAAATGAGTGTCTTATTATCTTCAATATTATAATATGCATGGTTTATAATAACATATGATTGATTATTATGTTCTGTAAAGTAACTTAAGCTACAGTTTTACATTGTTAGAGCTTTTAAATTGAAATAGATTTTATAGTAATTGTAAATTTCAAGAATGTTATAAGATCTCATCTTTTTTAAAATCTGTCAATATTACAATAAACTTCACTTACTGATAATAGTCTAAATAAAGGTTATTCATATTAGAATCTAAGATGATCAGTCATCTTGTTTTTTTGCTAATCTACAGAATGAATTTTAACCACCCAAAATCAGCTGTTTATATCAGTTACATGAGTGTAATTCTATTGAGATTGGCTGTATATCCATACTCAGATTTTTATTCATATTTTTTATTAACATGTTTAGACACACAAAGGCATAAAAATAAAGTAGTTATTTATCATTTTAGCCTAATAGTTATTGTTTTGGACACAAGTCTAACTGCTTAATATTTCACAAATATATTTATACTAACTAAATTTAGTTCAAGAAGTTAATATATAAGATATAGTTTTATTAATATATTATGATATAAATTTGGTCTTTGGCAGATTATGTGAATTTATTAAAAATTTTATATAAACAATGTGATAACTCAAACATCATTAAGAATACATTATTGTCACCAATTAATTTTTATTTCCTATTATTTTAATATACTCTAAAGATACACAAGTTTTAAATTTTGAGTAACTTATTAAGTAAGAATCTTCATTATGATAAATTTTTAATGTAAGTTATGTACGTATGCAGCTTAATTGTGCTAGATCTGTCATGATAGAGAATCTTATCTGCTTCAAAGTACAATACAGGTATCTCCTGCTTTATGCCAATTTGCTTTTATGAAAGACCTGTATTAGTATCTAATTTTGCTTATCGAAAGAAATTCAAAGAGGATTTTTGGTTTTTTCAAAAATAGTGTTTAGCATTTGTTTTGTAATGAGCCATTTTAGAGGCATCATGCACTCTGAGCAGCAAATGCAAGGCATCTCCAAGGTCCTTTCCCAGGAATGATATTCAGCATCAAGCCTCCTTAGCATTGAATCTGAGAGCATCTGTGTTTTATGTTGATTTATTTTGTGCATCCATTAGCATAAACAAAATAATAAAATGGAAAGGCTATACACCAATCAATCCACTTAAACAATAAAGTGTGATCTGTTAAGTTATCCTTACTTAAGAATAAATCAGCCACTCTTTTCAAATAAGTTGAAACAGAAAGAATGGATGAATTTATGAAATATTAACTAAATTAACTAACTGCTTAGTACAAGTTAATTTTGTTTTTGAATTTTTAATGCCCGCAATTTCCT